GACCCTGAAGAACCACAATACTTCTAACGTCTTGAAGACAAGTGCTACACACCGCATCGCAAGGACAGTCTATAATATACTAATACAGAATTATTGTGGGTAAGTAATGGGGTACAAGGTATTATATGTTGGTGATGATCCGTTCCCAAAGCAAACCTGTGATGTCCGGCGCAGACACATGATGCATTCGTCGTTCGATGCCAGTTTTTATACAGATTATCTTGTCCAACCAAAATCCACGAGAATGCCTAATCCATACGGACGCAGGTCGTATTCGCGGCGGATGAACGCGCCATTTGTTTTGGGGTGCGGTAATGCTCGTGCAGATGGAATTGAGTCAGGAGAGGTAGTGATTAGAAGGGGGGTATATTCTGGTGAAGATGGGACCAGGCCAGAATCTCCCTTCAGTGCGTACTGGAATAGTCGAACGATGGAACGCAGGTCTCGGCTTGCAGATTTTAAGGAAGACTTGGGTGCAGGCGTCTGGGTCATGGCAGCAACATCTTGATAACCATCGACAGTGGGCGTGGCTGCCGTGGCTGCATCCTCTTGCTTCAGCGCTGCATCCTCGACCTTTTGTTGGCGCTCCAGATCGTCTTTTAGGCGCTGGACACTGACGTGTTCCCAATGGGTAACATTGAACGGTTCAAAGAATCCGCCAGCAGAGAAGTCGCACCAGCATCGGTCAACGGCCTGGATGACGTCCGGTAGTGGCTTGGTATAGTTTGGATTGAGTGTATTGTTCAGCGCCTCAGCAAAAGTGGTGATATTCTGGGCCCACGGGGTTGAGAGGGGGCTATCCATTGGGAAAGGCTGCCAATAACACGAAGAGACGAAAAGCGTTGTGAGCAAAACAATGCAATAAAAGCTATAAGCGTGATGATCAGCAAATGTTAAGTGGCACACGTCTTACAACCGTACCAAGGTTTCGCGTGCATCGTTAACGAGAAGAGGAAGAGAAGCAAGAAATAGGGCGGCGCCGTTGGCAGCGGCAGCAGCAACAATGGCAGAAACCAGCGCGTACACCTGAACGACATAAAAATGAGAAAGAGCAGTAAAATGAACAGTTTTTTATGACTTACCACATTGATGAACGACGGACTGGAACTTGGAAGAAAGAAGTCAAAGAATTGAGCGAACACGTTTGTGCTAGGGCAGCCGGCAGTCGGTTCCATATCAGGCAATCGCCGGCCCAGCTGCTTACGTAGTGCCTGTGCTCTTTCTAGGACTTTCTACGCGATTCATCTTGAACATTCACGCCGCGTTTTCTGATCGTCTTACAATCGATCTCCTCATTCCTCATCATGTCTGTCCACCCCCAAGTATTATGGGCCCAGCGTAGCTCCGCGACTGAGGAACAGAAGGTGACTTTCTTTCAACTGGCGCGCTTGACCTCTCTCTCACACCACATAAACACCAGAATGTTATCTACCTCACCGTGAACCTGCCCGACATTCAAGAGGATTCTCTTCAGTACGTTCTCACTCAAACTTCTATTTCTTTCAGTGCCAAGGCCGGAGAGTCAGTGTTTCAAGATCTATATTTGTGATAATCAAATTCAACACTATTTCAGCGCTTCCAAGAACGTAGAAGAGAGAACCTTCGCTTTCACCCTCGATTTCTTTGCCGATGTAGTTCCCGAAGTGAGTGCGCATTCGATCGTCTTAAATCAGAGAGAGTTAACCAGTCTCGTTTAGCTTTCAACCAAGAAGCTCACCAGCCGTTCGTTCGTCGTTGTTCTTCGCAAGAAGGAAAATAAAGCAGAGTACTGGCCGCGATTGACCGAGAAAAATGTCAAAAACGCGTTCCTCAAGACCGATTTCTCGAAATGGGTTGATGAGGATGAACAAGATGGGGATGTCGCACTCCCTGAGGATGACGAGGGTATGGTCCCGCCTGGAATGGCCGGTATGGGTGGCGGAATGCCCGGAGGCATGGATTTTGAAAAAGTTTGCTTACCTCCCCATGTTCCTTTTCCTCTTCTGATTTTTCTTCCATAGATGATGGCTCAGATGGGCGGTGGTGGTGGTATGCCCGACTTCAGCGGTTCTGGTGAAGCTGGTGGTGAGGACGACTCTGACGATGATGGCCCTCCTCCTCTCGAAGAGGCTGAGGCTCCAAAATAAAGTCTTAGAGCACATGGAATTTTGGCATCTCCATGGAATGAGCCTTAGACTCTAGGTATTTCATCTTTGTACTTCCAGTTACAATGTTGCTCTATATGATCGGACATCTAAACGGCATGAAAACTAGTCGAGACGACTTATTTATGTTGTATATACGTGCATATCTGACCTTGTCAGCTTAGCTTGCATGCATCGTGTTGCGCAGCAGCTCATAATTGTGACTACAGAAGCTCAGAAGTACGGTGCTCAAGTTACAACCGATGTAGCTTATCATCATTTGTGATAATATCTAGTAGTACTACAATGTAAGGTCGGGCGACTATTAGTCGGAAGATAGATGTCTGGTAATACATAAGGTGATTGGGTCCAATTTCTACAAGTGTACCAAGGCAATCAATCAGCAGGTCGCATTTTCTTGAGGGTATCTTTCAACGATTAAGGGCAGCTGTGTCCCCAGTTCGTACTTGTTAGTTATATATGGGCGGGTGAGGATCGAATTGGCTTTTGAGATCTCGGCCACGGGATGGAAGATGAATTGAGGCAATATTGTGGCGATGAAAGCTTTCATCTCGTTGACAGTGAATTTGTAGCCCAGGCATGAGTGCGGCCCCATTCCGAACGTCATTAAATTTCCAAGGCCTGGAAAGTTGGACGAGCTGGCGGCTGGTGGGAGTGATGACCATCGATCTGGCCTGCGCGTCTAGTGTTGAGCAAGAGCTACTCATAAGTTCCAATAATTATCGACTCACTTGAATTCTAGGGCATCGCTTCCCCAAATATCGGTGGAGAAATTGAGGCCTTCAATCGGGATGTGGATGTAGCTACCCTTGCGTATGCTGATAGAACCGCCCTTTTCCACGACTGTGCCGTCCTGAAGGACGACCGGATGTGAAACGGGGATCTGATCATCGGTTGTCGCAACACGTATGGTGGAGTGCACAGGCGGGCAGAGGCGAAGAGTTTCGCGAACCACAGCATCGAGGTACGGGGATCCTTCAAGTTTGTCCCAAGAATCGCATATCGACTGGTGTGCTACAGTGCGGTAGGTCGGTGGCGGGGTAGCACTTGCACGGAAGTATTTGCTAGGGGCAGGGGTGATTGGCATAAAGAGATCTTCGTCGTCAACTAGAGAGGGAACGGTAGCCGCGATGGAGAATATCTCGTCGCGAAGGCGGGTCTGTATGGAGGGATTGAGGGAGAGGAAGTGAAAGCACCACGATAGGGCGAGTGAGACGGAATCAGACCCCGCGAGGAGGAATGTGGAGCATTGGTCAAGCAGTTCCTGGTCCGATAGACGTTTTAATGGGTCGTTTGAGAGGTTTGCTTTAACTGTCAGCTGTCTCAGTGAGAAATGGACGGTATAAAAAGAAAAAGAAAATACACGCACTTAGTAAACTCAGGATGTCCTTCTGCTTGTTCTCTTGCTTTGATGTTTCTGCCAGGACAGACGCCTTCTTGGCTAAAACCAGCTTCCTGCCTGCCTTGTCAATAATGCGCAGACTCTCGTTCGTAACCCTGGTTCCATGGTCAGGCTAAATTACTTACGATCAGATACTGCTTTTTTGTTGGATAGAATGTTTGGACTTACCCAGAGTGTTCTGATGATGGGGAAGTAGAGTTCCAGAATACCTCTGAGCTGAGGCCCTTTATCCGCCACATCAAACATCCTTCGGTACGCTCCATATACTTCTTCTGATTCATCGTCCAAAGCTTTGAACCTGTAGTCAAATCCGGCCAAGCCAATCACATCGAAGGAGGCGCGAGATATCCACTGGGCAACATCGATAGGTTCTCTCTTCACTTTTTCGGTTTCCATTGCAACGGCATCATACGCAGGAGGAGGATCAGAAGGATAGAAGTCATCGCTGCCAAATGATTGTGGAAGCAGAGAATCCCAACGATCGCATAATTGTTGCGCTTTCTGAAGGAAGATGGGAGTCATAGATTTCACGGATTGGCGAGAAAACGCAGGTCCAATGAGCCTTCGCTGAGTTTCGAGGATCAGAGTCATTTAACACGCATAAAATGAGGTAAAAAACATACCTGAAGTCTATGTTCATTGCCTTCCATCGAGAAGATACCTGCGATAATATAAGTTTGGATGTTCAACATCGTCCAAGACTGTATGTATTTACCACGACCAATGAGGCGAGCCAGAAAAGCACGTGTCTGCCAAGGCTTTTCGTAAGTCGGAGAGTTGAGGATATGAGTTATGGCTCGAAAGTCAAAGGATATCAGGCGGTAATCATGCTAAAAACATCTCAATGAGCTAAGGATATATTATCCACGATACGGGGCCAGCCATACCTTGCCAAAACCATGGAACCGGAATGTTTTGCCGTACTTATTTTGCCATTCTTCATGAGTCACGGGGCTCTTCCTTGGGCTGAATGAACGTCAGCGAGAGTGCGCCACGGTCTGCTTGTAGGTAACTAACTTCATCACATGTTGAAGATGAGTCTCCATCCTAGCTGCTTGAGGTCCAGGCAACTTCCAAAGAGGGTCGAAGAGAGGCATGACAACGAAGAGGTCGATGAACCAGCAGACACCTCGGGCTAGTAAAAGCACGAGACATACAACAGCTACTTTGAGGGAAATGAGGAGTACAGAGGCAAGGATGTGGAGGAGCGACATGACCTCGCTGGCTTGGACAACGAAGAACGCAGATGTGGCCACCGGAGTTGGAAGAGAAGAGGAGGCTCATCTTCATCTCACATCAGGCCTTCAGTAGAAGAATCTGACGGCGCTAACCACGATGCCCAAATACAGTAAAGTTGCTAGCCTTCATTCAGGAACAAAGGAACTATTATATATGGACAAGTGGATACTCAAAGGCCCGGTGATATAATACAGCATTGAATACTTAATTACATGGCCCGCCTAGCTCAATCGGATAGAGCGTCAGACTCTTAGGCGGGGTTAATTCCTTGTGATCTGAAGGCTGCGAGTTCGACCCTCGCGGTGGGCTAGTATCTTTTAACTCACCTTCCCTCACATTTTGGACTTGGCCAGCTGTGGTTTTCAGAGCTCACTCTTTCAAAGCATTTATATTTTCAAAGTTGAGTCAGAAGTCCGCAGATCTAATTATTAAATCAATTTATACAGCTTGAGTTTGAATAACTACAGAAGGCAGACAAATAGTGCTGCAAGGAGGATACTATAAGACAGACAACCGAGTTAGGTGATTGAGAAATAACCTGTACAAATGGGTAGCGGACAAATAAGAAGCGGGTGTGACAGGAAAGCAAAAGCAATGGGTGGTGCGAATATGCCGGTTGCAAAATACAATGCGGGAAAGGTGTTGTTGTGGTATGAAATATAGATTCGGGCGTGTGCACCGATGAGTTAGATGATATGGTTATGGTTTGGGAAAGGGCGAGATTGGGAGAAGAATTGAAAAGGTCTGTAGAGTAGGTTTTGGAGGTATCGGACGCGGAGTCGAGTGATTAGAAAGAGTATAAGTCCGTGTTGGGAAGGTAGGTGATCTGAGCTGCGACGCCACCGTTGATTTACATTCCATAACCGTAGTTCCTCTGGTAGGGATCGGCAAGGGATGCAGAGATGCCAGAACCTGCGAAAGGGGTGGAGAAGGAAGAACCGGAGAACCCGCCTCCGTGAGAGTGCGACGAAGAAAGTCCGTTCTGGTTGTGGCTCGAATTGCCTTGCAAAACGTATCCATCAATCGACTGCGGCTGCAAACTATGCAGCTGCGAGCTGCCAAGGTGCTGGTTGAATGATCCCGGGCTTTGTGCCATAGAGTACAAGCTATTTTGACCACCATAAACATCAGCCAGAGGGTTGGGTTGGTGGCCAACATGACGGCCCCCTCCATGATGGCTCTGAGGGATGCCCATGCCTTGATTGCCGAGACCAAGGCCGCTCAATGTGGGCTGAGCGTGGAAACCCCCATAATTGTCCAGTTGTTCACGTTGCAGCTTGTTCTGAATGCGCTTGCCGTAGGGTGTGTTACGAATCAAAGGAAGAATTGGGCGAATGCCTTCGACTAATAACGCACGCTGGTTGGGATCAGCGTAGTCCAAGGCTGTCTGCACATGGATGTGTTCAGCAAGAATCATCAGAGATGGATGAAGGAAGTAGTACCTGAACACAGTAGTTTCCATACGAGTCCCGAAGCAACTTCTCCAAGCGCATGCGATTAAGAAGCTCTTCAATGAGAATCTTACGAGTGCTATGTTCGGCGACCCGAATACACTAAGGAGACTTGTGAGCTGGTGCGAAGAATAAAGGGGACACAATACGACACACCTTCTCGATGACGTTAGAGCTGAACTTCTGAACAGAAAGCGCACAGACGTTGCCAGCAAACTGGCGGATCACACCGTCACTGAAACGATTGTCGTTCAAGTCAAGGATGTATTGAACGACCTGCATGAAACGTGAGGGTCGATTTCAAAGATTGTGACACGGCACACACATAGTTTCCATAAGGATCCTGGACGAGAGTGAGGGCGTTGTACGTTATCTCGGTCACCAGTTGGACACGTTGCTGGTCGGAGGCATGATCTATGCACCTCTGCAATACGCAGCATCCATGACGATGGGTGGCGACTTCGACACAATTGGCGGCAACGGCATTGTAGATGAACTAGATAGCGTTGGTTAAAGGCATGCCTAATTCAGTCTTCTTCATGCGTACCTGATTATCTTCTGGGGCGAGCTTGTTCAAACATTTTTGGATAACGTGATTTCCGTTCAAATCCTTAATAAGCACGACGACGTGAAGACTGAGAGCGACAATGATCGAATGGATCTGAGCGTTGTACCGGTGATCGGCCTGCTTTTTGTCGTTCAGTGTGATAGAAGGATGGAAGGAACGAGGTGTACTTGCCTGCCTTCTCGTGGAGAGGAAATCAACCATCTTCTGGACTGCACGTGTTCCATGCATGTTCAGCGAAATGTTGACAAGATCCTTAGCTACAGAGTCGCAAATGCCGTTGCGTTGCTCATCGGTGGAGTACTCCAGAAGCTTCTGGCACAGGTAATTTCCGAAAGGATCTAAAAGATGGGTTGAGATGAGAACATTGATGCTAAAATGGAAATGGGTTCATACCAGTCATCAACTCTGGGAAATGACCAAAGGTCTCCCGGAAGATCATGTCTCGATGCTCAGGAACTCCTTCCTCCAACTTCTTCTGCAAGTAACGACAACCATGCTGATCTTTACATAAGGAGGAAATCTCGCCTTGAAGATCTTCTAGTCGCGTTCCTGCAAAGCGGTTGACTAGACAGCATTTAGCTGACGACGGCCACGAAGTGAGTGACAAAAGACGAACATTCACGATCCATATCTCCCCGCTTGTGCTTAGGTCCGTGAAGGCCGTTCATCTTGTTATCTGCCGAGCCAGGGTTGGAGCGTCCAGGTAAGCCCAGACCATAACGAGAGCCGTTGTGATGATAAAGTGCTGTGGAACCACTGGTGCCGTTGACGCCACTATTGTTGGAACCACTGCGGCCATTCACATCGTATCCATAGCCGCTGTAACGGCCTGTATCCAAACCTACGTCTACCTCATAATCCAGTCCGTATTGCTGTAGTGAGCTAGTGAGTGGAGGACGCGAGGAGCAATTGGTTTCGAGCGTACCTCATCCAAGCTACCAGACTGAATGGTATTGAAATCATATGGCTGAGTCATCCTGGACAATGACGCCTGCAGATCGTTAGGGCTACCCGAACCATCGTTCACTTGATGATGGGCTGCAAGCCGGGTGTTCAACGAATGTGGGTCAGGAGCGTGAGGGCTTCCAGACTTCATGTGGCTGGAATTTCCGTGACCTCCGAGAGGAGTGCCTGGAACAGATCGCCCGGAACTAGAAATTCCATCGAGCAGCCCTGGGGGCGAGCCTCGTCTCGAAACAGGTGTGGGGACGTGAGAGTGGGCCGATCCTTGGGAGAATTGCTGGATCAAGGGGGTGGCGGAGGTAGAAACCGTGCCATGCTTGCCAGTAGGATGATCCTCAGGAGGAGCAGATAAGGTCAAGTTAGGGTTCGTTACTGTCCTCCTCTCAGCACGAGAGTTGAGGCCATCCGGTACACGAGGTCCTCCAATGAACTGAGGCCACTCGGATGAAGACTTTTCACGAGCTTCCAACGCACGGAAGTGAGAGCGAGGTGAAGTCTGAGAGATGTGAGCGAGATCAAGAGCCGCAGAAGATGTTGACACCTAGTATGAAACGTATATCAGTGGGGCTGAGCCGGCGAAAAGGATCAGCTATCTATACCTTATTCGGATATGAGCCACCGTGGTACTTGTCGTCGTCTGAGGTCGGAAGGTTGCGCATGGCATCTATGCCGCTGTCACTAACTCGGAATCGGGCAAAAACGATGTGGTACGCACTGTGCATTTCCTGGTCAAGTTGCTCATCCAACATCATGCCAGCATTGTACGTGCTTGCATAACGGGCCGCCTGCTCATCACTATACCGAGAATTTCCCCTCATCAGAATAGAGGCCGACACTGGAGTGGGGATAGGAGAGGCTCTGTTGGAGCGATCTCCTGCCATAGACAGCCCTTGAAGGTGACCCGCTAGTTCTTCGTCGTGACTACTAGCGGATGTACGACGGCTAGCGGGCATGCTCTTCGCACCAGCTGGGCGGGTGAAACTCTGCCCGTTTGCGTGGGCGGAGGTTGGCATGTCTGGTGACAAGTTAACGGACGGAGCGTAAGTAACTGATTTCCTCTTGTCTGCGGCGGATCCAACGGCTCTGGAAAGCGATTCTGCATCGACAGGGAGATGTCCACGTCCAAGTCGACCATTGACGTGGGCCTCGCCATTGAGAATTGCGCTGACACGAGGAGGGGTGGTTGGAGCTGAAACAGCCAGGTGCTGCATACCGTTGCCGTTGGGATCATAAGGAATACTAAGCAGCTCCTGTGCCTGTTGCTGCTCCAGAGCTCGCATTTGATCTTCGAATATTTTGCGTTGCAGGAGGCGCTGACGCTCGTGCTCGAGGCGTTTGAGTTCAACGCGCTGTGTAGAGATGAGCTTTGGAGAGATCTTCGGAGGAGTGGTCACGTACAGCAGACATATCAGGCATATTACTTCCCAACCTTGCAGACTGTATTTGTTTGTAATGAGTTGGCGAAGTAAAAATGACAATGGGTCAGACTTACAGAGTCGGCTAGGTCCAGGAAGGCGGGTGGACTTTGCTTTCTTTCGTTGGAGGCAGGACGGTGATTATTAGTAGAAATAGAATTTTCCAACGTGTTATTCATTTTGCGTTATTCCAAGACGGTGAACGACAGAAGGGGATTGGCGAAGTGATAGAAAAAAGGGGAGCACGAACGCAAAAGGAATACCCTGTATACAACAAAGGTCAAAGGCTGCTCCATGAGAAGAGCAGAGCCACCATCATTGACGCACCTCAAGCTGATTTTGAGCCCGTTCTAAAAAGGACTGTTGTTACAATGGGCTGGTGGCTGCAGGACGTGAGCCGACGATGACAAAGGACATAGGCAGACAGGGAGCTAACCCTTTTATTACTCCAGTCTGATGGAGGAAAACGGGAGACGGACGGATGTTGGACGCTTGGGTGAAATATATGGTCACGGCGACCACACTTCGCATTGGTCCCTGAACTCTAAACATCGGCAATGGCCTTCAAATTTTCAACCTCCGGTTCCTGTCCCTACCCTTAAAACATTTTACATACCATAAATCCGCATTCCCTCGTCTACTTGCTTACCCACAAAGCTGTGCACGAGATCCTTTGTCTCATACATCTGGACATTGTCCGATTAATTCTATGGATCTCGTCTTCTGGACCAGGGTTGCACTAGTGCGGTTGAGACTTAGACCCCCCACCCTCAAACAAGATTTCTTGTAAGCTTTATGATATGTATACGTAGTCGTGTTGCCAAATACACGGAGAACACCAATAGAAAAAATATCTGGAATATAAACACAAAGCCTACTTGTGGGAGAGGCGCATCTTCGTATTTCCAAACC